TTATAATTACCAAAGAAGGGGAACAACGGTTCGCGAAAATCGCAAAACTCGGTGGGTTTGCTTCTCAATCATTGCAAGGTGCACGAGATGTGGCTGGCTCAAACTATTTCGCAGGCGAGGGGGCAATAACTCCGGGAATCATGTGTACATATCTGCCTGGGAATCATCAGGATAAAAATTAATCGAAATGAACAGAAATCGTTTAAACTAAGTGGTGAGAAACTAATGAAACTGATACAAATTAGTCGAAATAAGCGTTTTCTACCACTAGAAAACCTAAGGAATGAATAAAAGTGGACGGGAATCACAGGCAATCACTGGGAATCAAGTATTTCGGGAATCATGTGTACACACCAAAATAGAGTTATTTCCCCTCGTTCGCAGGTGATTTCCTCTCGGGCATGGCCCCTTGCGGGTAGGCAACGCGTCCACACCCCTGCATGCGTTGCCTACCTACGAGGGGCCATGGTGAGAGACCAGCCCGCCCGCGCCGCGGCATGCGATATAGTAAAATAAACTAAATAAAATACATTCCGCAATATGAAGGCCACCCCCTTAGCTATTGAGTGCGCTTCGTCATGATCGAAAATGTCTGATGCCCGTCAAGCATTTCTGGCGTGGCGGCTGCCTTTCCGCGACTACCGGTTATCGGCTCGAGCTGCTCGGCCTGTCTTCTCTTCGCTCTCCTCGTGTGGCCTCCGATACATACAGCGCGCTGTATCGGAGGAGAGAACCCCCCCCCCCCCCCCCTTTTTGTACCCCACGTATCGCTGGGTTGGCTGCTGCCGGTTGCCAGCGGCGGACAGCGCGCTCGACGCGTTGGGCCGTGCGAGCCGTGCGGGGCCGCGGGCGGGGCCCGTGCTGCCCCCAGGGGGATGATGGCATGGCTACAAGGATGCCCGATATGGGGATTCGATATACTACTGGCTTTGTGGCAAGAGCGGGGGAGAGGAAGAAAGAGAGAGGGGAGAGAGAGAGAGAGGGGCGAGGTCGGCGTGGCCGGGAGCTGCCTGTCGGGGAGACGGAGGCGAGACGCGGCCATACCGCCAGCGTGTATCGGATGCCGGGCCTTGCCTCCGCGCGGGGTCGCCGCGGGCAGCGCGTGCTGTGCTGTGGTGTGTGCTACACACTCTCAAACACAATGATGTATCGGCGCGAAACCGAAGCGGGAATCTCGAGTTTGAACCGCTTTTAAAGGAAGAATTTTCGTTTTTCTGACAAGATTACTAGGATGTCTTTCTAGACCAGGGTAAAAAAACATACGAACATTCTTTGTCAATTTTGTGTCTACTACACGTTTTCAACAAAATACTCCATAATTTTTGTAGTTTTGTTTTGTTTTTGGGTGTCTACATCTCGAGTGCCCCCGATGGCCGTGACTCCTGTGGGTGTGCTAACCCTCCCACCCCACCGCCCCTGAACGCTGCGAACGCGGCCGCAGCCTCAGTCCAACTTCAAACGGCTTCAAACACCTCTAATGAGTGAGGAGGGGGGGGGGGACTGCCGGCCAAGTTGTCCTCCGCGTTGTCAGACACCTGATGTGGGGACGCGGCCAGCCAGCCTGCTCGTCTGCTTAGAGAGGCGTGAGCTTCAACTCCGGCATAAAACGCGAAAGCGCTCTCCAACCTGGCACGCATTTTCCCCAAAAAACTTTTAATTGCTGCACAGCGTTTCTCTTACCAAAGCAACGCAGAAGAAAGCAAAAAAGTAAAAAGACGAAGCGAAGTATGCATAAATTCTTTATTGAGTGAGTCCACACAAAAGAATTATTGTTGTTTGAGAAGACTCTCGTCCAACTGTATAAGTCATTTTGTCAGAAATAAAAATATTAATTTCGTCTTGGTACCGTTTAACTTTTCCAAGTCCAAGCGCACAACAACTACATAACTACGCCTAGTGCACTGCGCTCGCCGAGCTGGTGAGCCGCGCCACCCCGTCGACGCGCTCGCCGTCATGATGGGCTAGTTAATGTTGGGAGCAGTTTGCCAACTCGGCGTGGCGCAGCGAGGCGTGCTGGTAGGAAGAGCGCGGCGCGGCGCACTCTGGGGCAGCACCTGGGGTGTGTCTGCCGCACA